ATTTTCTTTTTTCATAGTGGCAATAATTCATATACTATGTTTGTACATGTATGTTTTTAATGGAATCTATGACATTTTATGGAATTGAGAATACATTTTGTACTTTTTTGAAATTAAAGCCTGATGCCTCATAAAACCCCACTGACACTTTGATGTGGATTTTTTGTAACATATTCCTTATTAGGGGTGAGGACCATCTGGAGTTTATAGATCTGGGTAGTTAATAATTGTGTTCCTAGAATACAGTAGTTATGTGAAGTTAAGTAGGGGGAACCAGTGAGAGCTGTGGGGGGATCCAGAAGATTGACACTACCAGAAGTGTCTGTTCCAGTTTTCTTTTCTTAAAATTTGAGCAGCGATCGGTGGCATAGGCAGCAGGTAAGTTAAAGAAACACTAAACTCGGGAGTTAAATCTTAAAAATGCATTCAAGTACCTTAACTATTAACAAAAAGTTTAGCTTATTTGTGTATCACTCAGCTGTAGACCCTCAAATCATCTCTATTTACGTGAATCTCGCATTTAGTTTACTAATTTGTATTGAGACTGTAGTCCATCACGGGAGCGAGCTTGGAGCGGCGGCTACTTTACAACACACAGGGACCATGGGGAACAAACATAGCCACCTTCCAGAGAATAGAAGAGTGTCAGCACCAATTCAGGGATGATCTTATGCTCTTCAGCAAAGTAATACACAAATAAGGCACATTATTGTTAATAGTTAAGGTACTTGAATGCATTTTTCAGGGTTAACTCCTGAGATTTGTGTCACTTTAATCTGACTAACACACGTGCAAGGGACGCACAAGTGTTCCTAACACCCTTGGTGTGATGTTTATATTAATCTTTTAGCCCTATTGAACCTTCCTGTTAAATTATGTAAATTCATTCAGGATTTATATTTTTTCCTATAAAGCAGCTCCAGTTCCCCTTAAAAAGCCCGTTCCACTCCGGAAGGTAGGGCAGTGTCAGCACCAATTCAGAGATGATTTGAGCATCTACAGCCCAGTGATACACAAGATAAATTTTTGTTAATAGTTAAGATACTTGAATGCATTTTTCAAGCCCATTTCCGCCTTCGAAAGGGTATTTTTTAAAAACATATGCCACCAATGTACACCACGTATACATGAAGAAGGCATATGCAGTTGATTTATATGAAAACAGAAACTTACATGGAAATGGCTCCCTCTGCGCTGTGCAAGAAATGTGTGTATATCTTCCTCCCTCCCCCTTCCTGGACAGTGCATTGTGTGTAAAGGCAGAGCTGGTGTTTAGTGATCGTGTTACAATTAGTGACAGGGAGGGGGGTAGCTGTTTACAGGCAGACACCCTGGTGTCAGACTGAATTTCCTTTGGAGAACATTTTTAGGCTCCAGGCCTAATAAAACCTTCATAAAAAATGGAGAAAGCCTGCAATGTGAGTCATGAATATGTGCACACGTATACATCATCACTGCACCTCATTACCACAATAAATGCTAATCACTAACAAAGGTGGAAATGGATTTAAAGAAGAGCTATAAGGTGAATGAATTACACTCATCCCCAAAGTGAAAGCCAACGTGTGACCCTGAACCTGTCACACGTCAGCTCTATTGGTCGGCAAGTGAGCGAAAACACTCGCCACTCGCTTACTGCAGAGAGCAGTGACTGTCAGTCACCGTTCCCGCAGGGATCCCCTCCAACCTCCGATTCTCCAGCGCTGACTGGAGGAACAGACAGGGAATGGGGAGGGGATAGCTCGCTCTGCATCTAGATGGGCAGAGTCCGCTGTCAATCAGCCAGGGGGTGGATCTTGACAGTATTGTCAGGATCCGTCCCGGCTGTGCTGCTATCAGCATATATCCTGAGTTTTGAGTCACAGGATCTTAGGATGTTGGTATTTGTTCTCCCGTAACCCTAAAAGGAACTATGGGAAAAAAGGTTACCCCATAGTTCTCTTTTAAGTGTCACTTTAAGTATGTCCTGTCATCTTTTATAGGTATGGCTTACTATTAAGGTTTACCTATAGCGACATGGTTAAATTTACTGGTAAATTTTGGATTGTTTTTCTTACGTCAGTTTTGTAGTAATATGTTTCTTCCATTAGTCCATTATATCAAATAGTTTTTTTTTAATGATCTACCCCCATGTAAATATATAAGTACCATACATAGATTTTTTTTTAACAGAAGACATTAAAAGACATTAAATAGCATTAGTCACATCAGTCATATTTTACATGTATGTCTATCAAAGCAATGAAAAAGAACATTCCTTTATCTAAACCCAAAGCAATACTGTAATATATTGCAACTTTTCAGTCCTTAGATGAAGTGGCTGCATTTAGTTTTTTTTTTTCCAGGCTTTTTTAGCCTATTAGATTTTTGTCTAGTAATCATGCGAATGACACATTTCTTGCGCCTGGATGGCTACGCACGCACTCCTCTACTGTGACTGTGGAGGCAGCCATGGTTGCCAGACAAAGCAAAACAAACGACAAACGCAGTCAACAATTTGATATCTTCTGCCCCCATGTGCTCCAAGATGGAGACTCTCATAGTTTAGAGTTAGGACCGCACTATAAGAGGTGCCTTGGCGCGGCTGTGCGGCTTTCACATCCTTTGCAGAAGACGTGTATCCAAACCTCTGTCATTATCCTTAGTGGTGAGACAAGTTGTTTTACATGCTGGTTTGTGAGTGTGCCATGATGCCTTTCTACTGTTCTATGGTTGCCAGACAGGCTAGACTTCAGACAAGACTGCCTTTTTGTTCATCTCCATTACATGGAGTTGGGAGATTAGTAGTTTATCGAACAGAGATAATGTTTTTGCTTTCAGTGGAGCGCACAGGAAGTGACGAGGACAATGCATTTCTGGCAAGATCAACATGTATTTTCTGCACTTGCTGAAAATGTTCTTAGCCTACAGAATGAAAACTTAATGCAGCCACCACATCTATGGACTGGAAAGCTGCAATGTATACATTTTTGTTTTTGGGTTTAGTTATCTTTTATATTACAAGCCTAATATTTTTGATTCAGATCCAGCCAGAAAAAGAAAATCGGCGGTCAGCCTGCCTTAGGCCTTTTCAGACCTCCCTAGTACAGTGCGTTGTGGGAATATGGACATTACTGCATGTTATGCATCAGTGTTGCAATGTTATTCATTGTTAATGGCACCAAAACACATTAATCCAAGGCACCTTCAATGCCAATGCTTTGCAATGCACTACAATGCAAGGTAACGCACTATTATGCATTGTGGTGTGCTGGTTCAGAATAAAATGGTGCAAGTCTGATTTTTGGTCCATTGTGGTGCATTGGCAGCCCATTTATTAGAACAGACCGGTCTAAATGGGCCCTTCATTTCAGCCAGTATTTTAAAACCATGATTATCAAAAGAAGTAAAAAAAGGCTTGGGGGTCCTGCGGATTCTGCATGTGTTTTAAAATGAAAACATATAGGTGCAGTTGTTAAATATCAATGTACCAACACCAAAGAAAAAACATCTGTCACTAAGGCCTGGTTCACACCTGTACGTTTTGTAGCACGTTCAACGCTCTACGAACGCTCTACAAAACGCTCAAACATGAAAATCCCATTGTTTTCTATGGGTATGGTTCACACCTTGCCGTATTTCAGCCCGTCTGAACGCGCTACAAAACGGCCTACGCCTGAAAAGGTACATGAGCTTCTTTGGGGCGTTTTTGTCGCTCATTTCCATTGGGATACAGCCAAGTAGCCCTCGGAAACGCGCGTTTGTTGCGCATTTTGTTTACCGTGAATCGCGGTAAAAACGTGCAACAAATGCGCATATTCGATACGCCTAGGTGTGAACAGAGCCTAAGAAAGAATGCTAAAACTTAAAGTGACATTAAACCCTCAGATTTTTTAACATAAAACAATACTGTAATGTGCGCCTTACTGTAATCCATGGTTGTTTCCCTTCTCTTTGCTGCTCTTCCTTTTAAATCCTCATGTCTTCTCATGCTGGGCAGAACTTCTGTTTTGCAGCAGACTGTCTTGTCTCTGGAATGGATACATGGTGTCTGTGTGCAGGTTCACAACCTGAGCCAGCACTACAGGAAGAGGCAGTCAGCTGCAAAGGGAAGTTCTCCCCCAGCATGAGAAGAGATACGGATTTAAAAGGAAGAGCAGCAAAGAGAAGGGAAACTACCATGGATTACAGTATTGTTTTATGTTAAAAAATCTGAGGGTTTAATGTCACTTTAAGTTCAGCCAGAAATGAAACCCATCAATGAAAAATCCCATGTAATTATAAAGTATTTGGCTGACATGATAATCTGTTATATGTGTCTATACAAAGTCCAAAAGTGTGCGGGAACCACCCTGTTTCCAATGTTAGCTGGTGGACCAAATTATGCCTAACGTACTTCAATCTCTGCAATCTGGCCAGTAATATGGATGATACTATTCTTTATCGTTCCACCAAACTGCCAAATAGTGAATGCCTGGTCATGACCACATTATTAGCAGCAAAGGCTACTGGGAAAAGTAGTCCAGAAATTTGCATTGACATCACAAGCAATTCTCCAA